AACACCCAGGAGGTCTGGAGTTGTCAAAAGTCCCGGGCATCCGTTTCAAATGGCCAGCACCACCAGCCTTGGAAACTTGGCCCCCACTGACTCTCTATTCTAAGTTTCCCTTTGGCAAAAAAGTGCCACCTTCGACCCAGTCCCCCATCCTAGTCTCTGCAGGTCCCTACTGGAGACGGAAGCATATTTTTCTAATTCCAAAACTGGGATATATAGCCTGACAAGTATAGTTACATCTGGAAGGGGACAAGGCACAGAATATCTCAATCTGGTTCTAGTTTAGCTATTCTAGGAAATGGGTCAAGGGGGACCCCCAGGCAGTAAAAGTGCCTAACGCCTCCCCCTCCACAACGCATGCACCTCGACGGTCCAGGTGGCTGACACCTATTCCCACAAGACATCGTTTGGGTAAAGACGGTAAGTTACCCCACTATTTAATAAGGGCTGGGGGTGGGTAAAAAAAAGTATTGCCAGCTGTCGGCACCTTGGCATGAACTAACTGTCAGGATCTAAAAAGACTCCTAATAAGGTCTCACGGGGACGTGGCAAGGATAGTAATGGACTAGAAGTGATCTCTAAACTGCAATCCTACCTGAACGTTGGCATCACCTGGGCACCGGTGTGCAGAACTGAAGAAGGGGCAATTAAGTGAAGGGCAGGGTTGATAGTTGCTCTGATTCTTAACGTCACCTAAGGTTGGTTTTGCCCCTGCAAATGTCAAGGCTCTGGGGCCTCAGGACTCACTTCAGACCTGCATCCCACCAGCGCGGGGTCCGGGTGGCAGGAACGCTGGCGTGGGGACCGAGGGCCGTGACCGCTTCTTGTTCTCGAAATCCCCGCCGGGGCCCAGAGCACGGCGCTCCCCTACGAGCTCATCACGTGCACAGCCCCGGCGTTTCAAACCCGGCCCGAAGCCTGAGGTCCCGGACGCCGGGGTGGTTTTTAGGGTTTTCTTTCTTTATTATTTCCCTTCTTGTTCTCCACAGTTGGTGATTTTCTGCAGAAAAACGGCTGAGAAAAAAAGAACCTATTTCATTTCCAGTTCCCATCACCGCGATTTCCACATGGATGTGACGTGGGCCAGCTTCCGAAATGCCCAGGTGACTCACGCGGGGACACCCGGGGGCGGGGCGCAGGAGTTTCTCGCGCGGAGGGCGGGGCGGGGCGGGGCGGAGCGGGGCGGGGCGGGGCGCCGGTCGCCTCCTGCGCCGGCTGCCCCTCCAGCGCCTCCCGCGCCTCGCGCGCGTCCCGCGCCCTCTGCGCCCCCTGCGCCCCCTGGCGGCCGGCGACCCGCGGCTCTCGGCGCCGGGCCCGGCGTCACGTGACTGGAAAGTCCCTGGGTGGAAATCCCCCCCGACCCTCCGCCGGCGGTAAAACAGAAAGGGAAAAAGAGAACTGGCAGTCTGCAGACTTCGCAGCGGGCCAAGTGCAGCGAGCTCGGAGCCCGCGGGGGCGGAGCGGTGACAGCAGCCGCCAGGAGAAGTGCGGCGGCGGTGGCGGCGGCAGCCGCCTTGATCACACCCCCGGCCCGCCCGGCCAGCGAGCGAGCGAGCGCCTGGCTCCGGCGTCCATGGGGCGCCTCCTCCGCGCCGCATCGATCCCGGCCCACTGCGCGCGCCGGTCCTGACCTGGACTTGGGACTTAGGAAGAGGATCGCGCGGCCGGGACAGGTAACCGCCGTGTCCCCGTGCCGTCTGCCCAGCGGCTCCGCGGGGCCAGGGCTGCGGGTGAGGAATTGGCACCGTCTCGCGGGCTGGCCTCGTCTAGCTGGCGTGGGCTTTGCAGCGGTGCTGGAGGGGAGTTTGTTGGCCGTATGTGCCCATTGTAGCTCTTGAAATGGTAGGACTTGAGGTCGCCGCGCCAGATGTTCGGGTGACAGCTCTGGATTCGTCCAGCCAACTGGCCCTTTTACATGCTGCAAAAAAACTTACGCTGCAGCGGACTGGTGGAGAATCGCCTCCGGACTGCTAGGTCGGTGGTCGTTGGTGCTTTGCTCCTTTTCGTGCCTTTCTTTATTTTTAAGTCAAGCTCTGCATGCTTTTGGACACGTAGACTTTGCAGAACCGCTGTGGCTTCTTGGCAGATTGTGCAAACCCAGCCCACCGCCGGGTGGGGTGTCGCAGAGGCAACTGAACCGGCGGGGGTGGGGGACTCAGCCAGCCTGCCTGTCCAGGGACAGCTTGCAGAGACACTCCAAGTTAAGCGCAAGGAGGTGGGTGGGGTCGAGGGACAGGCGTTCATCTTTTTCTGTTGGAAGCAGCGTTAAGACAAGTGTGCGCGTTGGCCTGCTTTTCGGGTGCTCCTCCGGTTCACAGTGTTCTGCGGGCCCCTGCCCCAGCCCCTACCCCACAGTCAGACAGTCTTTGTCAGCCCGGGTCGTCCCACATCCTGCCACCTGGCCTCTCAGGAAAGCAGTGGTATTAAGTAAGGAAGGAGCTCAGCTCTTTTGAGACCGCTTTGTTTTCAGTTCTCCCTGTCTCTGATCTTCTTTCCTTGGAAAGCTGGTCTGGTCTAGTGTCTGGGGGCAGCATTTGGAGAGAACCATTGTTCATGAAACAGCTCTCTCTGGACCACAGCCCTAGTGTCCCCAGTGACTGAACAGCCAGTTACTGCCCCCTTCTCGCTGTCTAAGGTGCTTCTTTGATTTTTACAATTCCTCGTGCAATGTTTGAAGTGTCGGCGGGATACTTTTCCTGAAATCCGGGTGAGGCATTTGTGGATAAAAAGCCAGTGAGGTAACCAACGTAAAAGTAATGTTAAGGGTAACAGCGTACATCTTGACCTGGAAGGGCATGACAATCATAGGTCAGGAGAATCTATTCCTTAATCTTAAATGTGGAGAAGTCCAAGAACGGGGAGCTTGGGCCATGCATTTTGATTCTTTTAAGGAGGCACTTCTGCACACTGTGCGAGGCTAAGCCTATGAATGAGATGACCTTGAGCCATCCAGTATTGACATTTGCATGTCTTGCATATGGTTTACAGCCCTCACTAGTTAAGGTCTTTGCTGAAAGATTTTTAAGTCAGAAGAGAATAATAGAAGACCCAGAAAAACAAAAAGGCAGCACTTAGCTTGTTTCAAATCTTTTTCCTTCCCGCCTCTTCCCCTCTGAGAGCAGCAGGCGCTTGTGGGAACACCTTGCGTTGTGGGAATAGCGAGGGGCAGGTGTTGGAAGTTGTGGCATGTGGGCAGAGCTCTCTGTGCTGGATGGTGTGGAACCTGGGCGGGACCTGTGCTTCTGTTGCCTTGGCTGCAGACCGAGAATAGGGTCAACTTTGATTTTTTAGCCCCAGCATTAAGCATGGCACTCGACCTTCAGTAGGTGGTCAGGCAGTGCTTCTTGAGTGATGAACAGATGAATGAGTGATACCGTGAGACTTTTGCCGTGCCACAAAGCAGAAATGTGTGTAATGTTTCTGTCCCTTCATTGTGCTTGGGGTCCTGTTATAATTTTGCCCATTTCCACCTTCAGAGAATGTCTGACGTCAAAGGACAGGTTACCAGCTGACCCAGAGAGTGACGTCTCCCAGGCCTCACTGGCAATCAGGATAGGAATCCTTATCCAAAACGATCACCAGAAAACTCCTTGGAAGCAACGTCAGGGTCATCTAGTCCAACCTCTCTACCTTGAGCCACAAGAATTTAAACCACTTTATCAATGGCTTTAAAAGAGCGTAGTCCCACTTAGGAGTGGCTTCCCTAAAATCCAGGTTTCTTCTTATTCGTAGATAGGTTTAAGGTCTTTCTCAACTAAAAGCTTGCCTAGTCAAATACACATACTATGATATAGGAGTGAGATTAACAGTTCCCATGAAACTTCCTAGGGAATATCTTCATGCTCTAAACCCATCTTTGTCTCATCTTGGAAACCCAGATGTATTGTGAGGCACCCTCCTGAGGCTTAGGAATGAGAACTGGGTTTCTACACAGCCACACGCTGCAAAGATCCCACGTTGCATCAATTCACAACATCCCATGCCGTTGGCGTGGGTTGTAGATGCTGGGGTTTGCCCCGTCTTCTTTCATTTGTCCTGAGTGTCCCCCTGGCTGAAACATCATTCCTTATCTGCTTCCAGACTTTCATTTCTTTCCACCAGAAAGAAAGAATGCTTAAAGATTTCACGGTGAAGACGGCGGGTGGGGGGGGGGGCGGGGAATGTATTATCCAAGTGTTGGTTGAT